GCAGCAATTCTAGAGAGAAGGGCCGAGCTTAGTACTGTTTCCAAGTTTTGAGTGCTGGATATATATTTTTTTTCCTGGAGGGGGAGTTTGATCTTTAAAGAATTAAAATCCACGAGTTATATCTGTGGCTCCAGCTTCCACTAAGTTCAGCTGGAAGTTAGTAACTTCTGAAGGTGACTTAATTGCTTGGCTGGGCAATTCTTTTGGATGAGAATCTTAGCCTTACAAGCCTTGGGAGACTTTTCTTGAAATGGAATTCAGTGATACCTCAAAAAGCTTGTCCTCACTTAACCCCGGGAAAAGGAGAGCACTGCAGAGCAGAGGCAGGAGAGTCTTGAAGTGTAATTAACAGATGAGTACACTTTAATTATTTGGCTGAAATACATTATGGGAATAATTTTCATTTTTAAATGAATTAATTTTTTCCCCCTCTTCCAAAGTACAGGATAAAAGCAGTCCCTAACTGTTTTCTGTCAAGGACATACTTTTTTTTAGGCTTCTGTTACGACCAGAAATTATTGTCCTTTCCCTTCATACCACATGTCTCAATATTGCAGCACCCAGCCTTGATTGATTTTAGGGAATAGATGGACAGAAGGACTCCTATGGAGAGGGGAGGTGATGGAGAGAGAAATACAGTACATAAGAAGTTACCAAAATGATTAGAATTAAGTAAAGCTCCTAGAACAGAAGGTGTATGAGCATCATTTGGCAGAAGCAAGGATTCCGGAATCACACTGCTGAGCTCCAATCCCCACATACCAGCTGCGTGACCTTAGGCAAGAGTTACTTCACCTCCACGTGCCTGCTTTCTCATCTATAAATTGGGAGTCGTAATAATGCCTGCTGTTATGTGGCTGTTGAGCACATCACATGAGTTAAGGCATGTGAAATGCTCAGGGCAGTGTCTGGCTCATAGTAAATCTCAATAAAAGTTTTATATGCAGTATGTATGTATTATATGTTTATGAAACCCACTCAAGTACTAATGAGACCTTCACAGCCATTAGGATGGCAATTGTATTAGGGTTCTTCAGAGAAGCAGGACCAATATGTCCCTATCTGTATCTATCTAGCTACATAGATATAACTACAGATACAGAGATTGAGGTCTACTGTGAGGAATTGTCTCACGTGTTGTGAAGATGGATGTACTGATGGAGAGGACCTTTTCTTTTTGTCTTGATGATAAGGAATTTCATTTTTTAACTCAGTTTGTGGAGGGTGATTCCTGAGGCCCTCTCAGTGCCAGTCATGGTATGGGGACTCAGGGCCACCTTGGAAAGTCTCTGTGACCCTGAGGACCTCGTGTGATGCTCGTGTTGCCTGGTACCCGTGGGACATACCCCTACTCTGCAGGACATTTTGCCAGAAAGAATCCAGTAAGTCATTGCTTTCCAGGTGATAAGACATTGCCCCACCCCACCCCCCAGATCATCTGTGCCCCTAACACCTGCTCCACTCAGGGGCAGGGCAGCTACCAGCCTTAGACCCTTACTCTGGCAACAACCACAGACTGTGAACCCTGATAATAATAATAGTAACAATAATAGCTAATTCTTATATATAACCTGGCCCAATTACTGCACACCAGAAACAAAGTTTCCCAGTGTTTCATATGTATTAACTTGTCTTAATGCAACAATCCTGTGAATTAGGTATTATTATATCGTTCTATTTTATAGGTGGGAAAACTGAGGCACACACAAATGTCACATATCAAGGAAAATGACAGAGTCTGGGATTCCAACCCAGCCAGTCTGATTCCAAATTCCATGCTCTTCAGCACTGTACATTATTCCCTAAGGGGTTTTAAACAAATGGTACCCAACCTGTGACCACAGAGTGGCCGTGGAATGACTGCCACGTGCCTGTGAATCCACATGGCAGGCAAACATAATCTGCAAACAAATATATAATGCTTAAGACATTTATGTACAAATATTTTTCAAATGTATGTAGATGCTATTGTGAAGAATAAAAACATCAAATGCTGAATACATTGTGCTTTTTATTCATTATACAGTTTCTCAATCACAGACACAGGGGAGAAATCAAAACCCATGGTGATATATCCAATTACAGTCTTCTTTTGCCTTATGTGGAGACACTGATAGATTCGCTTTTCTCTGATATTTTAGAGAAACATAAATCAAATGAATAAACAAGTGCAAATTCTAAACAAAGGTGACTTCGACAAATTTTTTTATTGAACCATAACATGCATAGAGAAAAGTGTATATATCGTAAGGGAATAGCTGGGTGAATTTTCATAAACTGAAACCGCTGTGTGACTGGCTTCTCACTCACTCTCCAACGCCCCTGAAGGGCAGCCATTTGTATTATAGCAGAGTCATGTCCCCAGAAAGATAGTTTCATCTCTGGAACCTGTGAATGTGAATCTTGGAACCTGGAACCTGTGAATGTGAATCTTGGAACCTGGAACCTGTGAATGTGACCTTATTTGGAAAGAGGGTCTTTGCAGATGTAATCAAATTAAGATGAGGCTGTCCTGGATTAGGGTGGCCCCTAATCTAATGACCGGTGTCCTCATAGAAAGAGGACAGAGACACAATGCACAGAGAAGAGGACACCATGTGAAGACACAGGGAAGCTGGCCGTGCGACAGTGGAAACAGAGATTATGACGCAGCCACGCACCTAGGGACACTGAGGACTGCTGGCAGCCTCCTGAAGCTGGAAGCAGAAAAAAAGGACCCTCCCCTAGAGCCCTGAGAGGGAGCACGACCCTGCCGACACCTTGATTTTGGACTTCTAGCCTCCAGGACTGTGAGAGAATAAATTTCTGTTGTTTTAAGCCACCAGTTTGTGGTAATCTGTTCTGGTAGCCCCCGGGGGAACTTAATACAGCATTATTCTGCCTTTTAACAGCAAAGAATCATCTTTGCTTGCTTTGCATAAGTGGAATCATTTGTGTACATTATATAAGTGGAATCATATGGGGCAGATTTCTTGTGTTTGTCGCCTTTCACTCAGTTATCGTGTTTGCGAGATTCACCCATGTCACAGGTAGTTGTAAATCCTTCATTCTTTTGTTCTTAGTATTCTATGCACAGTAACCAAAAGGGTTTTTAACAGATCTGCCAGCACCACACATTTTCCTGTCTCACCATGAGTTTGCAACCCACCTTTTATTAACAGTAATGGCAAGGAACCTTGGCAGACTTCATACAAGAAAAACAGTTACAGTCTATACATCCCATTAGCTTCCTAAGGGAAGAAAACAATGTTACGAAATGGTGTCAGAGTCTCAAGTTCCATGTAGGAGGGACCCCAGGGGTCTCTGCCTGCAGATGTAGGCCTTTGGCTGGGGGGCGGGGGGAGGGCATTCAGAATGGAAGGGGGCAAAGTTAATTTCAGAAAAATTGGTAGGAAAAATTCAGAGAGACATTCGTTGATTTTCCAGCCCTTCTCTCTGGAACTGTCTGATAAAGTTGTCATAGAGTTAAATTTTCTGTGCTTTTCTGTTTCTGGTTCAATGAGGCAAATTTACATGCAATAATAAATAATAAAATGTGAAGTCCTCATACTTGAAACGATGGGGCATCCACTCAGAGAAAATGATTGTATTACTTTGTTGGGGCACCATAGCCAAACACCACAGGCTGGGCGGCTTAGACAACAGAAGTTTATGTTCTCACAATTCTGGAGGCTGAAAGTCCAAGGTCAAGGTGTCTGCAGGTTTGGTTTCTTCTGAGAACCCACCCCCTGGCTTCCAGATGGCCACCCTGTCACCATGTCCTCCCGTGGTCTTTCCTCTGTGTGCATGGGTCCTTGGGGTCTCTCTGTATGTCCAAATATCCTCTTCCTGTGAGGACTTGGTCAGATTGCATTGGGACCCACCCTAATGGTCTCATTTTAACTTAATCACCTCTTTAACATCCCGCCTCCAAATACCATCACATTCTGAGGTCCTGAGGGTTAGCATTTGAGCGTGGAGGGGGCAATTCAGCCCATAACAGTGATTTAATGTTGTCTGCATTTTCAACTTCTATGGTCACTCAGACCTCACCACGGGGGACTTTCGAACAAGCAGGTTCCAGACACTAAAGCCTGAGCCGAGGAGATTGTTGGTGCACCTCCCCAACACAGAAGCTCTCTCTCCTAGGCAGCAGTCTCTGTGGTCTTCTTTATTTTTATTCTTTTAATGTAAAGCCATTCTGATTTTAGAATGTGGAAGAAAATGCCAACTGAAGTTCTAAATCATCTTTCAAAATGAGGTTTGACACCAGTATTTTCCTATGTGTAGCAGCACTGCCTATGACTGACAGTGATAGCCTTAGAAGGAAAAATTTTCCACTCTGAGTAACTTTCTAGGCAAGCATTTTTCAGGGTTTTTTTTTTCTTTCTCTTTTTAGTGAAAGTACGCCCTTTCCAAGAATATGCCTCAAGATGCTCCCTGTTGTTGTTTTTTCTTCTCCCCCCCCCCAACTTATTGTGCTTTATTTTGTAGTATTTCATTGAGAGGTTTGTAAACAGGGGCTTTCATTATCATTTATGAACGAAAGCAAATGTATAAATGCTCATTTATTCAAGGAGCCGTTGTTGAGCACCCACACTGTACCAGGCGGTGTGCTTGACCCTGGAACTATAGAGATGAGTCCTGGGGGTTAAGCGTCTACTGGAGGAGACAAGAATGTCGCCAATGATTTCCAGGAAGCTTGCAGGTGTTGTGATACAGTTTGTCCAACCTGGGCTCCCGTTTCTCTGAGAATTGCTCCTTCTGGTCTGCAGAAATAAGACCTGGCAACGATCTGGGTCAGTGATCCTGCCATCCAGACCTACTAGACAGGGTAAGAGGTGTACAACTGTACCAAGCTGGGCAAATCGTAGTCCCTCTGCTTTGGAACCGTGCATTCAGAGATGCACATGGATTTGGGAGCCCTGGGTGGTCACCTCCTGCTGCTAGGTAGAGAAACAGACAGCCAGACAGTCTGTAAACAGGAGAGAATAAAACTCAGGACATTCTTGGTATTCCAGGTCCTGTTCCAGAGCCTCCTGATAAGCTGCTCTTTCCCCTCATGCTAGACTGGCACCATGACATTTGGGACCAGGTAAGTCTTTCTTTGGGGGATTGTCCTGGGCACCCTTGGCTTCTGCCCGCCAGTTGCCAGGAGCACCCTCCAGTTGTAATAATCAGAAATGTCTCCAGACAATGACAAATGTCTTTGGAGGGAGAGGGGGGCAAAAATCACACCTCCCTGGAGAACCCCTGTGCTAGGTTTCCTTTTCTAAAATTTTGGTGAGACAGAGTCTCACTTTGTCACCCTATGTAGAGTGCAATGGCATTATCGTAGCTCACTGTAACCTCTAACTCCTGGGCGCAAGGGATCCTCCTGCCTCAGCCTCCCGAGTAGCTGGGACTACAGGCATGCGCCATGACACCGTGCTAGGTTGAATGAGGTTCTATTAGCTGCAACTGAAAGAGCCCAGGTGGAGATCCTTCCTGGAGGAAGCTGGGCTGGTGCCACGCATTTCCAGATGCAGACTGCAGAAAAGGTGTCTCAGACAGAGGGACCAGGCTGGACTTGGGTACTAGACCCTTGGAGAAGACACAAAATTGAGAGAAACATGGCAGCCACTATTAGAAGCCACTGAAGAGAGAGTAATATAATTTTAGAATGAACAGCTGCTTTACATTTGAGATATCAAATATAGTCATATCTCTTTTATTTTCCTAAACCAAACTTAAAGGAGCTGGAACACTTCTCTGCCACCTGAGCAGATAAGTTCCCTTTCGGTTCCTTTTTCTATCTTGATTATCTGAAATAAACAAACAAACTCTGGGGGTTTAGACAACCCAAAAAGGGAGTCGATTCAACTTTTAACCCCAAAGGAAAGATTGATTCTGATGCAAAGATCTTCAAACTTTATTGAGCATGAACTCCTATCAGTAAAGTCTTTTTGAGATTGTCTCTCCAATGTATGCGTGTATGTGTACATATATTTATTTACAAACCACAGATGAGGTAGTTTATAAATAAGGACAGATGAATTCTTTTACATTAATATAGTAAATGATATACTAATGTATTGTCATTACTGAAAAACTGTGTTCTTTCCCTGCTTTACATCAGCTGCAAAGAAAGTCCAATTGGTAAGGCATTCGGGTTACAATTTGGTGGCCAAAGAATGGAGAAAGGAGCTTGTGCTTTAAAGGCACCTTCTTCAAAAGCAGAGGGAGGTGGGGGAGTTTTAAAGAGTTAGGTACAGGATGGAGGAGGTGTGTAAGTGCATTCAGGGTGGAGGTTCAGATGCACAGACTCAGTTAACGTACGTGCTTTTTCATGCATCACGTGTACAGAAAATGGTAGCGATTTTTTCTTAGGGGAGGGTTTTCAAGTATTATGGCAATACGTTAATAAGCCAAAGGTAATTGGAGGTCACTGGCTCTAGTCTGCACTGGCTTTGTGCAGGTCTGGACTTCCTCCGGCATCTGGCAGGGGGTCACGTGGCTACTTGTAGCATTCAGGCCATCTGGTGTCCTTGAGCAGCTGTGCCCATAGACGAAGAGACTAAAGAAAAACTGTTAAAATTTTTCAACTGTTCTGTTGGGGCTGTTGGTGACACTATGTTATAAAACACAGAAAATATCAGCATTTTTAAGTGATTGGAGTGGCCCATCAATGAACAAATAGATAAACAAAATGTGGCATATTCAAACAACAGAATATTATTTGGCCATAAAAAGGAATGGAATACTGATACGTTCTATAACATGGATGAACCTTGAAAACATGCTAAGAGAAAGAAGCCAGTCACAAAAGACCACATATTGTATGATTCCATCCATATGAAAGTCCAAAATAGGGGAATTTATAGAGACAGAAAGTGACTAGTAATTGCCTAGGGCTGATAGGGATTCCAGGTGCTAGGAGGGTGATAGCTAAAGGGTACAGCCTTTCTTTTTGAGGTGTGGAAAATGTTCTAAAATTGCCTGTGGGGATGGGTTGCACATACTTGTGAATATACTAAAAACCATCCAATTGTGCACATTGATGGGTGAATTGTATGGTGTGTGAATTATGTATCGATAAAGCTGTTTTAAAAGTACTTATAAATAGAAGTTCTCTTCTCTCCCCTTGTCCCTTGTTTTGTGCTGTGCCCTCTTGGGGAGGCACACTCACTCTGAGCCCACAAAAGTGGTGGATCAGACCCATTCTTGCCATCACCTTCCACTACAAATGGAGGCACTATGAAAAGCTGGTCTCTGCTGCAATTAACTGGAAATAAAAAATAAACAAACAAACAAATAAAAGCCAGTCATCCTACCACACACTCCATATGATGACTCAAATTAAGACATCTTTCAACACTAAGCATTGGCAATGATGTAAAGGAATTGGGTGAAACTAGTGCCCTTGTACACTCTTTGTGGGAGTGTAAACTGACACAATTGCTTTACTGTTTTTTTTTCTAATTTTTTCTTTTGTCCCAGACTCCCCCCATCCCCGCACTTTACTATTAAAAGTAAATATATGCATATCCTAAGTCCCAACAATTTAATTTCTTGGCATTTACCCAATGGAAATGCAAACATGTGGGCATCAAAAGGTATGTGCTCAAATGCTCATAGCAGCGTTATTCGTAACAGCCCCAAACCAGAAACAACCCAAATGTCCATCAACAGGAGAATGGGCTGATAAATTGTGACCCATTTATACAATGCAATTCTATTCAGCCGTGAGAATGAATGAGATAATCCTATACACAATAAATGAATGAATCTCATGAAAATAACTTGAGCAAGAAAAGCCGGACACAAAAGAGCACACGCTCTATGATTCTATTTAGATGAAGAAAGGCAAAACTAATCTGCGTGGTTAGAAGTCAGGCGAGTGGTTGCTGCTCAGGGTGTGGGCACAAGCCGGGAGTTCTGGGTTGTGGGTAATGTTTTATTTCTTGACTTAGGTGGCAGCTACATGGGTGGGTTCACTTTGTAAAAATATATCGAGTGCTATATTTCGATTTTTGCACTTTTCTTCATGAGTGTTACACTTTAATGATACATTTATTAAAATAAAGTGAAGCAACATACATAAAGTTGGGGGAAGAGGATCTGCCAGAGTTCTTTTAGCCCACTCCAAGGCGCTGCCTCTATGGTCTGGCTCAGCTCTCACGACATGAGGCTGCCAAGGTCTTTGAAGGGACCCCACTGCCTCCTCCTACCCCAAGCTGAGCAGGACCAAGAGTGCCTCAGCCTCCCTAGGGCCTCAGCTCCTTCAGTCCCTTGGCACAGCCCTTCCCCACCCCCTCAACCACTACCCACACCCTCTAGCTGCCCCAGGGGGTGAGGTGGGGTGTTACCAGAATCGGTCAAGCATCATCCTCTTTTGCATCTGGAACTGCTTGCCTAGGAAACACAGAGGGGTCAGACTAGTTCCTTACAACAAAGGGTGAGTTTCCCAATACACACCCTTCCAGCCAACTGCACCCTGCGGTCTGCTCCACCCTCCTATGGGAAACGCCCTGCGGGATGGGGAACTGCGCCTCTATCTACCTTTCCCAACGGGCTCTCCTGGGTGGCCATGGCTGTAACTCCTCTACTAAAAACAGAAAGAAATTAGCCAGACAACTAAAATTAGAAAACATTAGCCAGGGTGGTGGCTCTTGCCTGTAGTCCCAGCTACTCGGGAGGCTGAGGCAGGAGGATCGCTTGAGCCCAGGAGTTTGAGGTTGCTGTGAGCTAGGCTGAGGCCACGGCACTCTAGCCCGGGCTACAGAGTGAGACTCTGTCTCATTCAGGTCACACATGCCTCACACGGCAAAGGCCTTTGTCACATAGTTTAACATTTTAAAGGCCCAAGGTTATCCACTGAAGTTTCTTCCCACTCATTTCCTTCACCTACCTACTTTCCTTCCCCAGAGGATTCCAATGTTAACAGTTCCCAGAAATATTTTATTCATATACATGCATATATTTTTCTTCACTTTTCTTACAAACAGGTAGTGCAATAGACACACTATTTTTGAACCTTGTTTTTTTTCAGTTGATGATATATCTTGGAGATCATTCCTTACCAGTACATAAAGAGCCTCTCCATCCTTTTTGTGGCTATATAATATTCCATGGCAGGGATGTGCCAGAGTTTCATGTAACCAGCCTCCAAGGGATGGGCATCTAAGTTGTTTTTATTCTTTCACTGTCACAAACAATGCTGCAGTTTAAAAACACATGAAAACCCTTGTATATATGTCACTTTATACATATGCATATATTCAGGTGACAGAAGTCAGACATCATCATTCCCTTGCTCAAGACCCTCCACTGGCTTCCTGTCATATGCGGACCAATAACTAAAGTCCTCCCTGCAGCCTTCGAGGCCTCACATGATCTGGCTTCTCTCCAATTCCTCTGTTCCATGGCTCACTCTCCTCCAGCCACACTGGCCTCCTCCCTGTTCCACAAACACGAGCTCCTTCTTACCTCAGGGCCTTTGCATTTGCAACTCCCTCTACCCAGGAAATCTGCACGGTCCTCTCCCTCCTTCAGCCCTGTCTCTGCTCAAAAGACTTCTCAGAGAGGCCTTTCCCGACCACCCTATCTAAAGTAGCCCCCTCCATCACTTTTAATCCACTTTCCCTATTGTATTTTCTTCATTTTTTTTCCCACTTACCGCTACCTGCTTCATTATATTCATTTGTTTTGTTTATTTTCTGTCTCTTCAATAGAATGTAGTAGAGTATAATCTCCATAAGGGTAGGGACTTTGTTTTGTTCGTTGCTATATTCACTGCTTCAAACACAGCAGCTGGCCTACACAGCTGGCGCTTCTTTTATCCGTGGGTTGCACATCTGTGGATTCAACCAACCGTGGATCAAAACTATACTGAACATGTACAGAGTATTTTTTTCTTGTCATTATTCCCTAAACAATATAGTATAACAACCACTTACATAGTATTTACATTGCATTAGGCATGAAAAGTAAACTGGAGATGATTTAAAGTATGTAGAAGGGTGCATGTAGGTCATTTTATATCGGACTTGAGCACCCTCGGATTTTGGTATCTGGGAGGTCCTGGAGCCAATCTCCCATGGATACACAGGGATG